AAGCCGTTTTATCGTCTTTCTTCTATCTTGTCAGTCATAGGAACAGAGGAATGTCGTCCTTAATTTACCGGTGGTCTGCATTTTACATGAACACAATGTTGTGGGAGGGTTCTATCCGGCGCAAAACACATTCACGGTGCTGGCTGGACAATTACAATGTGGTTTATTGTCTCTGTTCAAAGACCCAAAGGAAAGATGATCTTGTTCACTGCTAAAAATTTATTGTTAAAAAGAGGCAATGTGTGGCGTATGGTGTGGAAAACAAAAATCATTTATTGTGATCCGTCATACACGGAAGCTGCGTATTAGTTAGTATTGCAAGCTGAAGATCCTTTTTAAAAACTATTTTCGCGTACTGTAGCGATATTATTGGTTATTAGTTAATATATTGCATCTAAACAACCCATTCTTCTTTTGATATTTATGACTAACAGGTGCGGGTCAAACTGTTGACCAGAATAACACGATCAAAGAACAATTCTATATTTATAGTTTGCTGAAGTTATTCAATAATCTATTTTTATATATTGGTTGAATCCGTTTAATTAAATCAAAACGACTAGCCTGAGAATACAACCGTCTGTCCACGCTCCTCTTAGCGGTTAGGGACCTTTCCGCAAGAGCTGTATTCGCAGGCTAGATGACGACCAACAAAGACAAAACACAAAACCGAGCACTTCCATATAAAAAGGGGGACACTAACATTGATAACTCAAGCTAAAATAACCCTTTTGTTATCTACGATGATATTTATCGCTTTTTATTGTAGGCGCAACTTTCAAGAAAACTTCCAAGCGGGCGAAGCCATTGAGGAAACTATCGCACGTTGGACGCTTACCCAAAGGTGGGTCAATGATTCCTCGATTTTCTTACAATTACCTTTCTGCAACCGAGTTGTGGCGGAGGCTATTGTATTTGTGCTTTAGTTTAGTGACATTATTATCTTAATAGGGCACTGTTATGAAATTAGAAATGTAAACCAAAGATCCTTTCACAACGGAAGCCATAAAGACTAAAGATATTTAGCTAAGGCTAATTTCTTTAAGTTGTGGTAAACAGTATCGGAAAAATCGCACAAAATTAATTATTATCTTCTTGCTTTATTCCACAAATTCGTTTGAAATCTTCGACTTCTATGCAAGGCATGAACCCGGGATTCATTATGACAGATAAAAGATGATTATAGTTTTAACAAATTTACAAGATTTCCCGGAGTGCTTTTTAATTGGAATTAAATTCTCTTTAAGCTCAGTTTAATGGAATATAATTTTAAAAGAAATATTTTTTGAGGCAGCCAAAAGGAATGTTCAGTCTGTGTTACCATCTGAATGAAAATTCACAAATATCATGAGCCATCCGATGAGGCTTTATTGACTACGGCTATATGTAGTGCTGCTTAGACATTCTTTTTTTTGGAAAATTCCTTTTAAGATGAGTGTGTTGATTTAGTTATTAAAGTGTCATCATTTATTTTGCAGCTTCTCAACCAAAGAATGAAAATGGACAAAAAAAGAACGCGATGCAAAGCATCATGCAACAACCTTCCCATGACCAAGTTGCCGGTAAGGAAAAGTATTGGTGAATAAAGCTTAAGAGAGACACACTGCTCCTAATTTAAATCTCTTTGGGATTTAGATTTCTTCAGAGATAAGTAATGATAAGTAATTTTGGACCTTGGTTGATATTTCTTAGAAAGTTATAACCGTTTCACGAGTTTAGATAAGCGTCAGTTTCGCGAAGTGGTCAGAAAGGGAAAGAGATCTGGAGCCCTTTCTGGCGGGTTTATTCGCCATTTTTTAAAACTGTTGCACCCTCCTCTTCTCACCTTTGCGGTGAATTCTCTTTTCTTTGGCTATAAACTATTTAGTTCAGATTTTAATTTCTGCTTTAAGATCTTAAAATTTCTTCGTCCATTTTTCTTTCACAAAAACGTTTCAAAAATCATCCAAAAATTCTGAAGCATTTATTTTGCCAGGGGCTCTCACCAAGAGCCATACCGAATAGAGGCATTATTCTATCAAATGACATTTAGTGAGATTTAAAAGGAAAAAGCTAAAATATCGGGAGGAGAAAGCATGGCCATAATGCTTCCTTTATCGGTTTCTTCGTTCTGAAAGACTCATTAAACAAGCTTCGGTTGTATGTTTTTAAGTTGAATTCTGATTGGTTACTAAGTAAACATATTTTTCCCACAGCAATGCAAAATCCCGAGGGTTTACAAGCAAGCGAGACGGACATAATAAATCACCTTCAAAACTATAACAAGCACTACCTCAACAACGAAATGGCAGCTGAGACTGGTAATTAGCACTAAATCTTTAACATGATGACTTCTCGAAGCTAGAACGACGATAATGTTCATGAGGCTAGTCACTCAGTAAAAATTCCAGTTATAATAGACCAATCAGAATCGAAAACGTGAAAAACAAGCAACTTTTGCCATATAAAGAAACTAATAGTTGGTTTTAAAATTACCGACCTTGTTTGCCTTGACTGGTTAGCACCGCCAATGTTCACCAATTTTAGAAAAGGCTGGAAACGTTCTATTTAAAATAAGTCGCAACCTGGCTATACCCAAATTTGTGGGCCAAAATCGTCTCTAAAACAGAAAAGAGCACTTAGCAAAACAAATTTGTTAGCATCAAGCATATTAAAAGGCAAAAGGCTTCACTTCTGTTTGGTTTGCGTCAAAAACGCCTTTGTTTAATAATCTCTGTGACAAATCTCGTCAAATTTTGTTGTAACATTGAAACCGAGGATTTTTTTATGTCACTTCTGCGGTTCAGCCTGCAGTTCCTCCTGGCGAAATGTCCCTAGCTCGCAGGAGGAGCTAGGAGAAACGGCTGTATTCGCAGGCTAGTTAAATTATCGATGAGTGTTAGGGTTAGATACATCATGATATGTTCGAAAACTTGAGCACTATGCTTTTGAGCGTCACCCTCAAAATAATAGCATTATACCTTAAATCATGCTCGAAAAGTAGCATTATGCTCGACTGATCTTAGCTATATTTGATACCCTTTTCCATGCCTGCAGACAAAAAATTCACCTTCATATGCCAGAAACACAATATTGCACTGCATCAATCAGTTACAAATTTACAAGAAATAAAAGAAAGATAATGCTTAAAACCACTCAAAATGTCTTCTTTTAATGGAACTCTCCCTCGTTAGGATACTCTCTGATCAGTTTGCAGCTCGGCATAATGATGCAACGGTGCAACCAGAGCTTGAAAGTGGCAAGGCGAAGCCTTTGAATAAGTTAATTCCTTGCTAAAAGCACGCGAAAGTTAAAAAGTCTCATATTTACATTTAAGGAATTATTAATTTTTCACTATTTTCTTAATTCTCTCTATGCAAAGAAGGCCCATTATGCCGGCATTATGCTCGATGCTTCGACTATAGCATTTTAGTAAAATCCAACTAGTGGTCTATTATCAATGCTGCGTTCTGATTGGTTGAGCTACTACTAGGCCATATGTTATAGCCCACTAGTAGCGATATGCGCGGGCTTTTTGGCGGCAAAAAAGGATTAAAGTCTAGCTTTATCTAGCTAAAAGTTTTTAATTCTCGATATTTTTTACCAACTAGTTGGATTCTACTAAAACAATGATTCCTCTCACCCTCATGGCCTCTGAGTCAATAGCCCATTCGGCCTTCGGCCTCATGGGCTACTGACTCAGAGCTCATTCGGGCTCGAAGAATAATTGTTAAATGCCCAAAATTATGCCGGCATAATGTATCTAACCCTGGTGAGTGTTAACTGATTATAGGACACACCCTAGCAGCTCCAATAATAATAAATTCATTTCTACTTGATTTCAGCTCTCCTGGCGGACAATGGCATTGATGATGATTCGGCACTTAAGATCTCCAACATGGCGGCTTTGCCCAATGGATTACCCCATCACGGAGTACAAGTAGCTAACGCCGCCATCAAAGCCAAGATCAGCAGCAGCGTTAAACAAGTTCACGGATCCACTGACCACCAGCAGGCCTCAACTTCACCCGGAGGATACGATCCAAATGCGTACCTTAACGACGCAAACTCATGGCCAGAATACAGTATTCATGATTCTGACTACAGTAACTTCCACGCCGTGGAAATGAACAACATGAACGGTGAAAACACGGATATGCCTCCCATGTACAACAAGCCAAACATGTACGACAAACCAGACGAAAGCCCCGAAATGGGCTTTCAAAACATGGGAAGCGAGGGGGGAGTGGAATATCTGGGAGATCAAAAGTTCCCCCAGGGGAAAGCAGAAGGTGGTGCGATTAATGATGAGGTTAAGGAGGTGGAGGAAGAGGCGTTGCAGAATGAGAAAAGTGAGGAAGATCATCCGCAGGAGGGTTCAGAGGATAAATCGGAGAGTTCCGAAGATAAAGGGGAAAATACAAAGGCTCCAGGTAGTTCGGATGAAATGAAGCCAGCTGACAGCAGCGAAGCTAGTGGAGATAGCAAAGCGCAAGGGGATGGGAAGGCAGAAGCGCAAAACAGCCAACAATTGCAGCAAAAAAAGCCTGAAAATATCCCGCCGGCTCAAATCAAAGATGCCTCCTCACCAAATCAGCAAAATGGACCGCAACCACAAGTAGCACGGCTGCAACAGCAGCAGCAGCAGCAACCACAGCAGGATAAAAGTACTTCTTCAAAGCTAACTTCTGCTGCAGTGGCCCAGGCCGCAGCCGTCTCACTTCCCCCCAAGGCCCTCTCCTCCTTACTAAGCAGATTAAAGGCTGTCGGGATTACAAGAGCCCAAGGTCAAGGTCAAATACAAAAAAACGGAAGTAGTTTCCAAGCTCATATACCTCAGGATATCAACCCGGCAAAGGAGATGACCCAATCAGCTGCCCAACGCCTCAAGGTTATGAAGCTGAAGACCAACTGAGTGATCTATTACATCTTTTGCCAAGAAAGATAGAACTAATTTCTCTATCTCAGACGTTAGCGGAGTGGTAACTGATCGGTAACAACAACAGCGCAATGCACACTGCGGATACTAAAGAGGGTTTAACCTGTCGTTTCTAGACAAAGACTCGATTATTTACGTACACATCTTGACCATAATATAATAATCAGGAAAAGTCACAAACCCTGATAAATTGAGTACGCCATTTGAAATAAGGCTATAGTTTGTAGAGAAGACGATTTGTATATTAAAAACCATCGACCATTTGTAATTGATTAAAAAAGTGTAAGAAGAGAAATAAACTTGTGTGGACTTGTTGATATCCCGCATCAAACCTGTTTTTATTCCAACCTGGCCCTGTCACACCTAATATCAGTTATATTGGCGAAATCAAAAAAAATCACAAAGAAACTCTTAATCAGTTTCAATTGTAAATTCCCAAGCAATAACTAGTACTATGCAAACATAGGATTGCTCTGGCTACTGCAAGTAACTGGTACCCGGGTGAAAACATTAGGCCCCTGGTTGAAGTGATACCGGCTTTCAGGTTTTCATAGCGAAATTTCAATAACCCTTTCGACAGCTACTGTTTGCCCAGTGACGAATCTTTATTACACCCACATACGCAGCTCACTTCAAAGCCATATCTTACCGCAGTCTGATCTTACCGTATGAACTCGAAAAGCGTTGCGACGCTTATTTTAAAAATATTTTGACTTGTCAGAGTGTGGCACACTTATTCGAGGACGGCGCTTAATTAAAATTTTCACTCTTGATCACATAGTTTTAGACGGAGGAGGCGATATTGGACTTCAAAATGGCGGCTCGACAACAAGGCATCCCCTGGCATTTTATTGACGAAAACGAGTCCTCGACATCGCGGACTTACATCGCACATGGTTATTCGTTTTTGCAGTGTTCAATTTGCTTTAATACCCTTGCTAAATCTTTATAATCAGCTGGCACTGACCAAATTTGGAAGATGCGGGCAATATATTAATCATTAATGTCACGTATAAATCCAGAAGTCAAGGAAATAGCGAAAGAGTTCACAACGATGCGATGACGAAATAGCCGAATTATTGACAAAGGATATTTCTACGCCATACCAGATGGCTTTTCCCTGCGTGTCGAAACGAAAAGTTATCCGTTTTATGAAGAAAAACGGCCGGGTCTCGTCTGGTACAAGTCGCTAGCACACATTGATTATTAGAGACTTTTAGATTCGAAGACGAGAACCAGTACGAGTACGAGATTTGACTATTATTTAGTTTTTTTCCGGTGTTCTCAATAAATAGGCACCACTGAAAGCTTCATTTTACTTTTTCTTTCAACAGAAAAATAGCACTGTTTTCTTTATTGAAGGAGGTTAGCCCTGTTGCGAACGCACAATTGTAAACCTTCTTACATTTGATAACTTGTTCCCGCCATTCAATACTACACGGCTATCACTTTTTCCCGCCAAAATGACGCTGCTACTAAGAATTTTAGCGAGAATGTCGTAGTTAATAGCGGAAACAAGTCATCAAAGTTAAAAGTTTTATCATTTTGCAATAGGTGAACTGTCTTTACCTCCTTCAATAAAAATAAGAGTGCTAACTTTAAATGAAATCTGGTCCTCATGCGGTCGTCCACGGCCTCGAATTTAACCCTTTCAGTGCCAAACGTAGTTAAAGGCAAATTTCGACCAGATTTCCAAATTTCATTTTCTAACATTTTGAAAAACAAAAAGTACCATGTGTAAGTACAAGCAGGGAGCTTTCATTTGAATGGTCACATCATAGGATTTCGTCCACAAACGCAAAAGTTACAGTCACCTCTCAAAACTCCATCAAGCACTCCGGCAGTGAAAGGGTTAAAGGTCTCTAGCCTATTTTGATGGAGCAGAATGTTTGGAGCACTAAAATTCAATTATAGTCTTTACTTTTTGCTAAAACACTCGACTTGAATATTTACTTTCGTCTCACTTGGTTCCAGTCCTCGTTCCTACTTATTCACTTCCGTCACGGTCCTAATACCTATTCACACCACATCAATGTGTGGCACAGAACCTATCCGATATTAGAGATTGGCGCGGTGCAGGATTCGCTCCGTTGCAGATATCGCGCCGAAAACATTGTTCTGATATGTGAGCAGAAGCTTTAACCGATATGGTTTTCGTGCCGGTGCAGTAGCTATCCAGTATAGCGTGAACATGACCTAAAAATGAGCGAAACGAATTTAAAGATACTCGAGAAAAATATTGCTCGATGGATGTCATGATCTGTTTTTTGTGGCGTAACGCGAAGTTAGCTTTAGGTGCGATCGGAGACAGCACATGATGTAAACTAGTGCTGATTTCACGGCTTGCTGTCCTGCAAAATTGCTATTGATCGATTTATTATGCTATTTTACAGAGGAAAAGGTACCAACTTGGTGATAAAATCTTGACGGTTAGTGTTGATGTGTTCTGCCTTAAAAATGATTGGAAAAACATGAGAGAATCACCAAGAAATCACGACAAAAATGGCGCAAAAAGTAGCCTGCAGGCACGTGAAAGGAACTAAAAGAAGAAAGCGAAAAATCATCATAACGACCACTGTTTTGATTGCCTTTTGGAGATGATCCTTAACTTTTCTCCAGATTCAGCTTTAGATTAGGCCATTTGCTTTATTTTGGCAGTCTACGAGAATTACGCCGGGTCAATGGTTTTACGTTGCTCTGAACACTCAAGGGAATATCGCCAGCAATAATTATTTGATGACCTCATTTTTCATTCTTAATGAGTCTAAACCGTCGGTTAATTCCTCTAAAACGAGTTTGCCCTTGTGACTTGCCAAAATGGCGTAAGTCCGCCACGGAGAATGCCGTTTCTTCGGTTTCTATCTACTTAAAGGTAGGTAGTACCTTTTGGTTTATACAGAACATAGACACTGAAACATTGAACCCAACGTAATAAATCCTATTTTATTTTTCACGCTTCAAAGGGCTTAAAAATGAAGTGAAGATGTGAAAGAAAAAGCCGGGGGATATAAATGTAATAATCTTTTGCCTAAAATAATCTATCGCAGGTTCTGGTTATCAAATCATCAAGGTTACTTTTGTTTTGGTTGCTACGCTTAGTAAATAAAGGGGGCTTAAGATAAATGAAAGGTAATTAAAAGATTGAACTTTTCCGCTTCTTGCTGCGGTTATTTCGCTGTTTATAAATTGAAAGTCAGGAATTGTAATTAGTTTTATCAAGCTGAGAACTCATTGGACTTAAAAGAGGCAAAGAAACCGAAGTACAACATATAATGGATTTCAGAACAGGTTTCTTAGTTTGTTTCTTTTCAGTAATAGGTCTTTAAATACCACAAAAGTACTGAAGTTATAAAACTTGATTCAACTTTTTTCTCCTAAAGTCTGTATTCAGAGAGAAACTCATAAAAATATTAAAGCAACGTTTTGGCGCTGCAGTAATATGGCTTCCAACATTAAAAATAGGACATATTTTAACCAGTTTTTTATCTAGGAGTTTGTCGTTAGCTTGTGTTTACCTCACGGGCCACTGATTACTTTGGCACCTTGAGTTTGTTTTCTGTTTCACGCAGGTCGATCACCTAAATTTAAAAGTCGGGATCGTAATATTGTTACTAACAATATATTCCTCGAGATGTATACCCTAGGCATCCTTAGCAGTAATGTCCTGTGCACTCTGTTTCTCGCGTTCAAAGTGGGCTCCACTTATGAGGAAGTGTTATCTTAAAGACGGCAACTAAGCTCCCGCTGTGACCACTGTCAGTGTTATGCTTAACTTAGTGCACCTGCAGCACCCTTATTTCATTTTCTTGAATCAGTATATACAAAACATTACGACAATTATTTACTAGATGTTCACAATACCGGTGATGTTTTTATACAAAGTGGTTATAATTTTTAAATTATAACCACTTTCAAACTAAACTTTCAAACTAGACTGTAAACTAAGATTTAAAAATCTTAGTTTACAGTTTAGTTTGAAAGTCGCGGATGTAAGCTAATTATTAAAGATCTTATGGCTTTTCAGATTGTCGTTGTCGGGACAAGTCACCGATCAAAGATAATATGTTGAGGCTGGAGAATCTAAGCATTTTTGTCTTTGGGTTCCCTACGTTATTAGGTGAGTTATTCAGTACCCTGCATTGGAAGAATTATTCATTTAATACTATAAACAGAATGAGAAGAAATGTAATCACAAAAAAGCTCTTGAAGAAAGCATAACATCGAGTTCCAGTTAAGCATATTTTATACCCCTCTCCCAAGAGAAATTTTATCAACATAATTAAGAGAAAATACAAAGGAGTTGATGTTTGTTAAGGGAAAAAGCCTTATATGACAATAGGAGTCAGATTGAGATCAATGCAATCGATATCGACTACTCATAATAAAGGTAATTTTCAGCAACTAATGGCAACTTCATTCAAGAGTTTTTTTATTTCTAGTATTCATCTTAATTATGTAATTAATGTCTGGGCCAAGTATTCAGTTAAAGCGTTGCAAGCATTCTGAGCTGAATATTTTTTAAAAAACTGTTTCTTTCGTGATCATTAGAAGGCTGTGAGTATTAGGTTGGGGAGAAAAGAGAGAAAGGAGATCTCCCTCCTTTTTGCTACTTTTTCTCTTGCAGTGCTTGTGAGCGTGAAGAGGAGTGCAACTGAAGCTTCAGGTTTGTTTCCGCCTTCTAAACCTTTCAACACAAATGGACTATAGGCTTGTAACGCATTTTCCCTTCTTCCCGCGTGTAGATTGTGAAGATTTCTAGTTTTGTATGTGTCAAATATAGTCGCAGTCTGGTATTATTTGAGACGTGTACAATCCGTTATAGCCCCTCAAAATTACAAACTGTAATCTCAGAATGGGTTATCAGGTGAAGACTTCTTTACTTTCAGCTCTAGCGACGAATACAGCACCAACCTCCCTTCAGGTACACAACAAATACCGCGCTCTGCACCACTCCCCTCCACTAAACTGGTCAGAAGGCCTGGCCAATGAAGCAAGCAGGATTGCTCAGAGTTTAGCAACACAATCTACGCTGTCAGGCAAAAAGGACTCTGCCTTAAATTTAGGTCAAAACCTGGCTAAATTGGCAGGTAAATAAAATGCTGACATAAATTTGACGAATAAAGTGCAGTTGCCTAGTAATACTGGGTTCCAGTTATAAACTGAAAGCTAAGGCCTCTTTTGCACGGAGAAAAGTTGCCGCGTCCAGGGCAGAAGAGTCACCCGCCGACCCCAGCAACCCTGGGTGAGCCAACCTTTCCAATTCATACATTACCTTGCAAAAAAAGTGGCGAACCGTTTACATGAAAAGCAAGAAGTTGGCTCGACTAGAAGGGTGACCCGCCTATCCGAGTCACCCTTTTAAGCGGTTAGGTTCACCCTCCTACAGAGCCGGTCTAACTTTTCTCCATATAAACACTTTGGCTCGCCCAGCCTGGTCAACTCGGTCGAGGCGAAACAATCAGAACATAGCCCTTTTGGATCGGGATAAGGGCTCAACTTTTCCTCTGATGCAAGCGCTCGCGACGCTCATTGACTCGGCTGGAAGGGTCTTCCATTCGCTAGATGGGAGGACCTTAAACTTCCTAGTGATCTTAGGATTCCAGCCAGTATTGAAGGTAGGGAAACAAGGAATAAAAAGCTATCAGTCAGACTTCGCAAAGAATCGATCACTGAAGAGACCGTGGTATTTTATTCGCTTTTATATTAGTGCTATTATCAACTGAGCTTAACTCACAAAAATTATTGACTCATTTTTGTGTAATAATTTCAGGTAGATGTTGTAAATGACCTTATGTTCGAATTCCCCGCTCTCAATATTCACTTCATAACTTTCATATCACTTCATCAAACGAGTGTTACGGCGCTTACCTACTAGATACCATTGTCAGATTTTATTTCCTATATCACAACCAAATGTCCCTCCTATCAATAACTCCCAAATAACCTCGTTGATGCTCTCACCCCCGACATACCGAAAACTGCCGCCTAAAAAATCCTGGGCTTATACATCTTCATAGGGGTTTAAGCAGCGCGCTTATATTAACCGGAATAGAAAAAGCGCTGCAAACCAAGAATTTGACAAGCTGTGCTGGTCAAATTTATTTTGGTAATAGATTCATGACTCATAACCGTCACGAATATACTGTAGTAAGTGTAGTTGTTGCTGTAGTTTGGGGTAGTTGGGGCTCATAATCGGTTGTATTGTTTTGTTTACGGGTCGGATGGGCCAAAAATTGAGAGGACCTATAAGTTGGGAGGGGGGGGGGGGGGAAAAAAAGGGAAAGTTGACTGCCTTTCACAGATTTATTTAAGAAGAAATGTACTCCTGAACTTACGCGGTTCTNCCGATACTGACACCTTTACCCAGGTAAGAACAACAAAACTTAAGTTGAACTTATCTCACACTAATCTTTTCCTTGTTACAAGCGTTTTTGTCGTCTCCATCCCAGGTCTTTAAAAATGTGATCAACTCCACACTGCCTGCCTCGAACAGCTTTGCTAAATGTGGGTAGTGTGCATGTATCATATATTTCTTTTGCGTGAAAAAAGTTGCTTGCATACTTCAATTCCTGATCTTATTACGCCGTGAAAAACAGTACAAACACTTAATTTTGCTTGAGGAACTTCATGCAATTATAGGGGCGTAGCCAGCTTTTCGCTATTTGTCGGCCTGGCTGACTTTCATTTCCACAGATCCTGAAAATTGCACGCTCGACTAGTACGCACTGACCTCACCAACACTTTTCGCATAATTTATTACAAGATGTCGAGTGATCAAACCAAAATATAGTAGGCCCTGGCCTTCAGGTCTGTCGGCTAGCTACACCCCTGAATTATATTACTGCAACTAAATTGAAAGCTATCGAAGGACCGTCTACTATCAGGATTACAACGAAGAGTTTACCATTTTATTTTTTTGTACTTTTACTGTTTTTGGTAACTTTTTAGGTAATACTTTGGCTATTTCGTCTTTTTTTTCTTCACGAAACGTGTGAAATTTCCCCCCAATTTCTCCGGGGCTACCAAAACAGCCGAGCTTCGGCGCCTTCTGCTGCCTTTTTTTGAACAATTATCCATCAAAATGACTCATCCTTGAGGATATCGGTCAACGGTAGCTGCAGGTTTGAATTCGCCTCAACCGAAAGGAAATTTAATTTTAAATTACAGAAGCAATGTTTAAAACCGCCCTACAGAGTACACAATTCACCACATTTCTCCCTCACCCAATTTCTGACATTTTTAGAGCCACCCTCCCTCGAGCAACGCAAGCTCTGCGATTCATCTATTGCTAGTTATAAATCTTTTTTTTTTGTGTGTTGTTCTTTGTTAATCAAAGGTGATATGGAGAGATTCAAAGGAAGTCGGATTAGGATGTGCTAAAAGCTCCTCAAATGCCGCTGGACCCATGTACGTGGTGGCTCTGTACAGACCCGCGGGTAATATCCCGAAACTGTTACGCAACAACGTCTTAGAGCCCGGTCCTCGAGGAAATGACCCGGATGTCTACTCAACGTTGTTCAGACGGCAGTTTGATAAAGCGAAAAGTTTAGGACGAATTCAACCAAAACCGCGCCGCACTTGAACTTCATTTGAAATGACTATTGTTTGTACCTCAAATAGGCATTGTAAACCTGGATCCTTAATATTTCTTGTGGCCCACTAGAAATAGCTAATAATAATATTTGCGTATTTGAACAGTTATTTCTCGGAGGCTTAGTCTAAGAGAATGGAGGGAGCATCTCTATTTAAGGGCCATTATGAAAACTACCGGGCCACCGGTAATTAATGTATTCTACCGTGATTAAAGAGTTTTTCTCAGTCTTTCTTTCTATCTAAGAAATGACGTGAATCAAAGTTTACACCGCATGAAGCGAGCCTTTGCCTTCTACCGCCCTTTCGTCTCCCTTCGCTTGCCCCCGTTTCTCGCAATTTCTTTGTATTATTTTAGCATTTCCAATTTGTGGTTACTAAAATGTCATAAAATTGGAAAGCGATGACAATCACATTGCAATGAGGAACCTATTGACAACACATTCAGACCACGTTTATATGGAGGAACCTTCTCCCGGGTGGAAGACTCACTCATCTACCCGAGGTACCTTAGGCGAACTAACTTTTTCTAGCTACATTTCCTTACAAAACTTGCCTGAAACTGTTTACATAAGAAACATAAACCGCGTTCTAAAGCCACTTTCAGTTTGCCAAACGCTTTTATCTTATCACTATTTTTCTCATGAAGGGATAAGGCTTAGACTGGAAAAGCACTTATTTTCTTAAAATTGTCCACTAAGGAAGAGATCTGGAGGTCCAAAAATTTGCTAAACCGCGGACTAAGTTAGACTTCGTTTAAATCCTGACCGACCGTTAGTTTTTAGGTGAAAAAAATGGGAGTTAGTAGTAAAAACGTAAATTTTTTCTAGCCACAATTTGTCATGTAGAGAATATCAATATTGCTTTTTACGAGTTTTCGTGTCTTATTGCGGCTGATGGACCCTATTCAGTTCATTTTTTCTATCCCGGAGGGTCACGACCCTCCGGGATAGAAAGAAGCTCGACCCAATGAAAATTTCGAACTTTCTTAAAACAACGCCTTCAAATGTCTGATAAACGTAATTAATTAAATGTCTGACATCCAATTGAGATCAGTCGGTCAAAGAGAGGGCTGTAAAGTATTAAAGACCAATAAATTCTAAGACCCATTATGGCTCTTAATAAATTCTATCAAAAGAGAGCCCTTTTTGTGAACCTATTTTCATCGTTTTCATAGTTTATAGGTACAGGTATACAATTATTGTATGACAATTATTAAATAAAAATATGTGCAGCTTTCTTTAGTTATCCTCACATTGAAACTGAAGATGCATTAACACTCTTTTAAGTTTCATTCAAAACCCTGTCGCGCAGAAAGTGCCAACAAGTTTGACTGGTCCGTGTATGAGTCAGTCAGTACCCATCCTTGTTACTTAGAAATGTTTCACCAGTGGACTGCACGTTGACTTTATTTTCTTAAAACTACGAACAAATGGGCATAATTTCACGAGTCTGAGGGCGATTTCGGGGTGATGAAAGTGCTCATAAAGCACCATTTATTTTGGAGGGTGTCAATGGTAACGTTTGCAATAAGGATTTTCGTTGGTTTGGGACAACTAAACATTCGTGCAATTCTAGGAAGTTCTGGAAAACCATGCCCCCAATCTCGACTCACAGGAAAGCGTATGTACGCGTGGCGGCGAGTTTAATTAAACCTCGCAGTGTAAAAACTAAAGGGAACAAAACGCTGCAAGCAGTCATTTTCAAGCATTCCCCACTCGCTACAAAGTTATTAAATCAAGCTGGGAAACACCAAGAACCTGAAAATTGAAATTATATTGCATTGATTTGCCGCTTGCAATTTGATTAAATCGAAAAACTTGTTATTGGCAACAGACCCATAACATTTCTCCCTTTATGATCCATCTGTGTGGTAGAAGGAAGCTTTGCCACAGTGTAGTAAGAAAAAAAAATCACGTAAAAGGCCATTCGAGTTTTCCCTCACAAACCTCCTTAGAGGCCAGCTGTGAGCTGCTAAATAGCCAAGTTTAAGACTCTAGGCGACATTTCCTTATTAAAGTGTGCATCCATATTGAAAAGAGAACGCTACTTTTTATAATCATTTAATACGGACGGTTTCCCGACAGCTGGCCCCTTATAACCTGACCGTATTGACTTATTGTTTATTTGCATATATTATTGGAAGAGAACGGTCAACTACTCCGTATTGAAACGCTTTTAAAGCTTCTGATTCTATTACGGTCGCGGATAACCTAGGCATAAGATGAAACTGTATGTTGTTGTTCCAGTAATTTTGACCCTTATTTCGTCACACCTAAAAACAGGTAAGCATTTACAGTGATTTTTCAATAGCCAAGGGAGTATCGGTGCACGCAGTTTTGATCTTAGAGGGCGACTGTATCCTTGACTAGCGGTGCGATGTGTTTCCAGTAATTCTGTGAATAATAGAGAAATTAGGATTCACCTTTATCGCAAACGGCAAACTTCAGACTCAAGTTAAGAATTTCTCACAATAGAAAACAAGCAGATAAAAACAGTTCGAACGATTCCTATGGTTAAAACTGGCATAAAACTAGCTACTTATTTTTGTGTAGAAGCAATAAAGAGTAAACGGAAAACTTGGTCACGTGATACAAATTCACGTCTGCCGTTTAGCGTAAACGTGTATCTCTCTACTGTCTCGATCTTTTTTCGTTGCCGGACGAAGTACTTAACGAGGCTTTTTAAGGGGAATGATCAGAAACTCAAACAACCTAAAAAATATTCATTAGGGCAAATTTTGGTAAATATCCTCTTGGAATATAAGGTATGAAATTCCTGACGAAATTAATACGCATTCTGTTTCCATAAATGAATTAAAAGGAAAAAAATTTGAAAGTGTTTCTAAATTTACAGCGAGTGTATTTTGCAAAACGGCGAACGCAGGATATGACAGCATCCCAGAAAACTGATGAAACTTGCGCCCTAATCATTAAACTTAAGAGCTGAGAATACGTAGACGTTCTGTGCTCTGCAAAATTCCTCTGTGGTTAAATTTATTGCATTTGTTTGTTATCGTATTGTTATCTTAGAGTGCGGCTCATAGTACTTCTGGTTGTTTTATTTTAAAATGCCATTAGTAAGGTAACAAGTTTCTGCAGGCTTACCAGTCACGATTTAATTATTTCTTGATTCGTTCGGCAAAAACATAGGAGTGATACATGCATATTTTTATCTGAAATAACCCACCATCCCTTCATGAAAATCAAAAGATCGGCCCCGTTCGCAGGGGGGACGGAACACGTCATTTTGCCTTTTTGCTACAAAAACGACGAATCCCGACGATTGCTCTTTGCCAAAG